AGAATCTGAAAAAGAGGAGGAAAAGGAAGAGGACAAAAACGAAGAGGAGAAGGATGAAAATAAAGAGGAGAAAGAGGAAGATGAGAAGGAGAAAGAGAAAGATGAAAAGCAATAAGAGAAGGAAGTTGAAGTTAGTGTAGTAGTTGATGCAAATATTGCAAAACAGCCAGTTGATGGTTATGATATTGATGAAGAACCAAATGAAGACCTCACTAATTTAGTAAGGCCGATCACTAAGAGTATCCTAAAGGATACTGTTGTTCAAGAGAAGCAGCCAAATGTTACAAAGAAAGCAACAGAAAAAACAATTGAAACTAAAGTAAGTTGTTAACAAAAGAAAGTAAATATTGTATAAAAGTAAATACAAATCAATTAAAAGTAGATAGTGTATGATTTCTTTGAGACTACATTTGTTGTTTTATTTTAGGTGTTGGTGATAAACAACATGTTGCAGAAGAAACCATTGTGCTTAAGAACATTCACCAAGAGATCGCTTCAAAGATAAACATCAACGTAGATTGTGGAGAAAAAGATGTTGAAGTTAATTTCGTTTCAAAATCGATGAGAAGCAACAAATCAAAAATGAATGAAATGCCAGAGTTGTATCAAGTAGTGGCTGATTACTGCTTTGTGAAGTACAGTGCATTCAAACAATAAGTTATGAAATTTTTTAATTTAAAAATATTCTATCTACTTTAGTTAATATTTAATTTACTTTATAAACACTTAAATGTGCACAATGAAGAGCTTGTGAAATATGAAGCTCCTCTCATGATAACAAGGGATGACACAGTATTCCTAGCTCCAACTGCCCCCCCCCCCCTCAAATGATAAAATCCAATATAGTTCAATGTTGGTCATTTCTTATGAATGATTCACGATTGAAAGAAGATTCATCATGCTTTTTCTTTGGCATTAACCACAATGTAAGCGTTAAATTAAATGTTTAGCTAAATACATAATTAAATGTATATGATCTAATTAAGTAACATGTTTTATGTCCTCATTAATACACAGAGGCCTCTAGAGCTGTCTCTCATGTCACAAGATCCTTCCCAGCCAACTCCAAAAACAGATGAAAAAGAAATATCATCTCCTTTAAAACTCGTGGCAGAATTGAATTAGGCATGGTATGATTGGATGTGCCTTTGTGATGCAAAGGAGAAAACACTACAAGAAAACAGCTTAATTCCGACGGAAAAATCCCGTCAGAATTTCGTCGGAAGATGTCTGTCGTAACAGCCCTTGTCGGAAAATGGACGTTTTCCGATGAAAATTTCGTCGGAAGAAACCTTTCCGACGAACTTTCCGACGGAATAACGTCTATCAGAGATGATTTTGACTTAAAATGAAAGTCCGTCGCAACATTCCGATGAACTTATTTCCGTCGTAAATGGGAAGGGTTCCGACGAAATATTCCCTCGGAATATCTTCCCTTCCGGCGTACCCTACGGTGGTGGTTGTGGTTGTTAGGGTTTGCAAGATTTTAAAAAAAATAAAATAAAATAAACCAAAGCCTTACCTGCACCGGCGACGACCAGGGGCGGCTGGTGGTGGAGCCAGAGGCGAATTCCCCTCCTCCTTTTCTCCTTCTCTCTTTCTCTTTCTCCCTTTCCCTCTCTTCCTCTTTCTCCCATTATTTCTCTTGTTTTTTCTTGCTGGGTTTTCGTCGCAACGAGGGCAGAAAATACAAGGGTTTTTTTTTTAATTTGCTGAAGGCTTCTGACGGAATTAATTTCGTCGGAATTAACCTGTTCCGACGGAATATTCCGTTGGAAATACTTTTCCGGCGGAATATTCCGTCGGAACAGGTTATTTCCGAGGAAATTAAAATCCGTCGGAATGATACCTACGGATTTTTCCGTCGGAAGGTTCCGATTCCGACGGATTTTTCCTACACATCCAAATTCCGCCGGAAAGTTTGAAATTATCGAGGGGATTGAAGTCCGTCGGAAGCATTCCGTCGGAATTTAACCTTTTTCTAGTAGTGAAATTATGACAGCTCAGTTGGTAGGTTTTATTATTCATGTCAATTAAACTACATTGTAGGGCATTATGATTTTGAATTTGTAGACTAATAAGTGTAATTTTAATGACATATCTTTGTTCCAATCTGTCTAAGTAACCACTATAGTTTGGTAGTGGTTAACTTGTTGAAAGAGATCATTCAATACTTGGATAACAACGAGTATGATGACAGGCATAGGCCTTTCTACAAAATTCTTGCATCTCTTGTGGTAAGATTTTTTAATTTCTCAAAAGTAAATTATTATTAATATAAAGTAAATGACATTACTATTAAAGTAAATAAGTTTGTATTAAAAGTATACATTATTTATGCCTGTAAAAAGAATATGATAAAATATAAAGTAAATGATGTTCTCATTAAAGTAATACATATGTTATTTAAAGTAAACTGTACTGTAAATTTGTTTTACTTATATATTGCTTTACAAATGTTATAGGTGGAGGAAATGTCAAAACTTCCTGAAGAGAATTAATCATGAAAAAGCTGATGAAATACTAGATTATGAGTTTGATGAAGTTAAGTTCAAGTGGAAAACACTAAAATATACTCTTGATTGTGGTTTTTTTTACAATGATGCATATGATGTGTTTTACTGGAGACCCTTTTGATTCTGACCTTTGATTTAGCAAATAGGAGAAAGGTGTATCGCGCAGAAATCTGTGTTGCCACTTGCTTTGGCAGAGATGGAAAAATTTCCAAGGTTCATAGTAGTTAGAAAACTTGAAGCAAGAGAAAGAGCTGAAAGATATGATATATGTTTTTGATTTCTTGAAAACACACAAGGAAGTAATGGAAAACATGAGCTTGAAATGTAAACCAAGTGATTGACTACTTAGCAATCAATGATGATGAAAACGTTCCAAACAAGAGGTATGTGTCTATACATGCAAATAAACTAATACTCCTGTTGCATTATATATTAAATTGTTTGGCATAAATTTAATTTAACATTACACGCGAAGTAGTAGGTTGGTTTGGAGAATCAATTGAAATAATAAGGGAAGATTGTAACACTTTGCTCAATGAATGGAAAGCTTCAACTAATCTGATCACTGCTTGGTCAAAACCACCTCAATAACAATGAAAAGCAAAAAGAGAGGTCTGAAAATGACATGGTCAGATTCTTCTTTGGACTTGACTTCATGGTAAGTTTTTTTACCTTTACTTTTATAATATAAAACTATGTATTGTATAAATATGTGAAATAAACTTGGGAATTATATTTTAGGATGCTTTAATTATGTGTTTGAATGCACATGAGAAAAAGGGAGTAATAAGTCTGCAAAAACTATGGATTGATTGGACAAAATCACAATCCTTGGACTTGGATGCAGCTGAATGTGTAAGATATAGAATAAATAATTTAACGTAGAAAACTATATGTTTAAAGTAATAAAAAACAGCTTTAAAGTAAATATGTGTACATATTTTTTATGTGCAGGTATTTATACCTCTGAAGCAGGAAGATCATTATTTTCTTGTTGTCATAACTTCAAAAATGAAACAATTGATCATTTGGACATCACTTTATACCGAGAGCACTGACGAATATGAGCCTGTGCAGAGTTTTATCTTAGAAACAGTAAAGCATAAATAGATTAACAAAATTTGTCATTAAATTCATTTTTCAATGTATCATATTACATTAATATTCATTTCCATTGTAGATCATACAAATGCAGAAGTTGTTTAAAAAAGAAAGCATCCAAAGGTAAATGATATGTTGTCCTACAAGCTGAGAATAATTGAACTTCCATTCCAAAAATAAAGACAAGAAAATTACTCAGGAAGCTATCTAATGCTGCACATGAAGGTGTATGATGGTGTTAATGGGATAGGATTGGGAACCATAGAAGAGGTAAGTTATTATAATTATTTCTGAAGTCCTTAAATTCTTTAAGTTATATGGATTACTTAGAGCATAATTTATTAAAAATAAGTTAATCTTTTGTTTTTTTACAGGAATTTCAAATATTGACACACCATCATATAAAAACAGTACTTGACCTACTTCTCAATGATAACAATCAAATGCAAGAGAAATTGCTGACAAATGTTAAGGATTGGGAAGAGAAGAAAGCACAAAAAGCATGTGAAGAATTGTAAATGTTTTTAATAGATTTGAATATATCATAGGCATTAGAGTACTTTAAGTTGTATAGTATTAATCCAAAACATTAGTTTGATGGTTTAAGTAGTATGTTTGTATGAAGAATACATATTATATCTCTGAGTTAAAGTAGTAGAATCATTCTGTGTGAAAAATGGTGCTAGATATAAAAGTAGAAGAAATCAATCAAAAGGTAAATGAAAATAATGTTAAAGTAACAGGAACTCAGTTAAAAGTAAAAGAAAAAAGTTTAGAAAATGAAGTCTTTTTGAAATATGGTGTTCGATTTTAAAGTAAGGAAAAATACTTTTAAAGTAAAAGAAATTACTCCAAAAGTAAATAAATTATCATTAAAGTAAAAGGAACAATTTAAGAGAAAAAAAGTTCAAAATATAGTAAAAAATATGATGTTCGATTTAAAAGTAAAGGGAATTAGTGTTAAAGTAAAAGACATGAAGTTAAAAGTAAAAGAAAAAAGTTTAACAAATTTTGTTACCATGGACCATCGGGGCATTTTAAAAGATATTGTTATAAATGTGGTCCCATGCTATTTTTAGAAATGTGTCAAGTATTTTGGGACGGATGAAAATGGAAATCGTGCCAAGTATTCTGGGTCGAAGGGAGTAATATAGGATATTATCTTCAATTTTGTAAATAAGAAGGACATTACATGATAATACAATTCATATGATATATTATTCATTGTGAAAGGCAGGAAAAAACAATATTATAAAGTAAATGAAATATTTCATAAAGTTAAAGTATAATAGGTAAAATTAAATAAACTAAACTTTATTTCTACAGTACAATTACTTAGAGTAAATGCAAAAATATTACATAAAAAAAAACATTAATATTTCTTCAGTATGTCTTGATCTTGATCTTCCAAAACATCTTTAAAGTTTCAAGTATTATAATAACTGCACAAAAAAAAACATCAGAAAATCAGTGACAGATTAAAGTAAATAAATTACAATGTAAAGTAAATAAATTTCAACTTAAAGTAAATGAGAAAAGTACAAAGGTAAAATACCTAAGAGAAAAGTAAGTATAATAACACCTGCACAAAAATAAAAGTAAATCAAGTTAAATGTTAAAGTAAATGGAACACATGTAAAAGTAAAATACCTGAAGAACTACTTGTTTGGACAGTTTTCGCTGTCATGTAAAACACTAGATTGCCCACAAACTCTACAGGTTCTGCCCTTTTTTGGATTTTTCTTCAGAAGCTATTTCGTTTGCACTCTTCAACCGCTTTGAACTTCTGGCAGAATCTTTATTAAGAACATTGATTTGGAGGCAAGATGTTTACATCTACTTCATTTGACCCAACCAAAACCTGAATATCAGCATCTTTCACCTCTTTTGAACTAGTTGCATTTTCAGGATTATTCTTTGTCAGCATCTGCTCTTCAAATGAAGATAATGTCCTAATAAGCTCAGATAAATCATCCTTAGGTTTCTCAGATAAACTCACACAACTGAAAATCTTGGACCACACATCACTCACCAATTGCTTCTTATCATACTTAGAAGCATCATCCAGAACAGCATTTATGGCTGAAGGTTTCTTCAGAATGTCTTTTCTCCAACAATTCATGATATAAAGATCAGGAATTTCACGTACAGACTTGCCTTTCATAATAAACAGAATGTGTCTACATAAGATGCCTTGACTCTCAAACATTTTACAACTACAACTGCACTCATATGTGGCCAAGTCAAAATTTACATCAAATTTTCCTTTTCTCATGATCAACAATTACAGAAAACTCCACACCATCTCCATACAGAGAAGTACAACTTTCAACACCACATGACAAACAGGTTGCTTGGCATTTTCTTGAAATCATAAAATTTGGTACGACTGTAAACAACAGCAGCGTGCTTTTCTAAGTGTAAATGAGTAAGCAATTGAGGCTCAGATTTATTAAGCCTGTTCAACTCATCCTGTTCATGCCTTTGAGCATCAAGAGCAGTTTCATAACAGGCAAAGAATTCAACACAAGTCACATGGGATTTATAAAATTACAAAAAAAACTGCTTTCACCTTCAGACCTTGAAGTAGAATGCAGTAACCCACCCATAAACAAGTCCCTGAAATATGCAGGGATCCAAAGATGCCTAATCTTGAACATGTATGCAAACCACTCATGATCTACAAGGTCAAATTCCTCCATAACACTGTTCCAGCAATAAACAAATACATGGGGATCAATTTCTCTATCCCAAACTACTGCACTTAGCTTTTTCAAGAACTCAGTTTCATTACAAAACTGAGTTCCAACCTTTTCAGGTACCTTCCTCATTATGTGCCACATACATAATCTGTGTTTAGTCTTGGTAAAAACCTTTTGTATGGCAATACCCATTGTA